AAGCTAGAGCTCCCTTCATGGTCCTCAGGGCAATACTGTGTGCCCGGTGCTGTGGAGGCTGGGATCAGTGCCCTGAGGAGCACAGGCTTGGAGGAACCAGTGGTGGCCCTGCTGCGTGACAGGGAGCTCTCTGGGGCACACTGACTTGGCTCCCCAATCTCGGACTGGAGCAGTGGGTGTCAGCTGCTAAGTCGTCCTACCCCCCCTCTGTCATCCTCGGAGCCTTCTGCAGGGGTCTTTCTTGTGGTTCATGAGACAGTGGTGGGAGAGGTGGACAGATGGGACCGATTTTCAAGGGCTTGATAGCTCCCCTCTGACAGCTCTTTGATAAGTATTTTTTAATGTGTTCTGTATCTTTTTATATCTGCATGTAAAGAAAATACTAAATCCTAGGCGTCACAGATAGGTTCTTTGATTTGACTCAGATGGAAGACGGGATGCTGCAGAAAAGGGAGGAATGGATAAGTTAATTGTCATGGCAACCAGCAGGTTTTTATAGTGGAACACTGCCTTTGTAACCCAAATCCGTCACCTTTTTGCTAACTACAGAAAACAGACTGACGCAAACTCAAGAAATTATAGTACCACCTCTCAGCGGGGCTTTATTTGCTTTTTTGGAGCCAATCTTGCAGTGATTTTAGCCCCTGTCTAGCATTTCAGAGCTGAAAGATAACCTTTAGGATTCTGCAAAGGCCACAAATGTGCAATGATTGTTTTGATGATTGTGATTTGTCACTACCTGTCCCCCCTGCCTGGTCTGCTCACTTGGAATGAGGATGTGTCTGGGAGACGTTACATACCCTGACGCACAGACTCCTGCATGAGAAACATCTTCCATGTCTTAGCAGCTTTGCAACTTGACCGTCTGTGTCTTGTTTCTTCACCACTGCTCAGGCCTAGGATGCTTAGACCGGCTCCCTCCTGAAGTTGCTGCAGGCAGGCTCATAGCCCACCCCTTGCCATCTTTGGGGCTTCCAGGAGAGGAGGGCCCTTGTGGTTTCCTTTCAGTAGCTCTGTGGAGGTTTCCCTGGAGTGCAAGAGGCTGGTTCACGACTGACCACAAAGAGCCCTTGTGCAAGCAGGTGGAGTTTGGGTGGGACAACAGGGACCTCCTTGGGCACCCGCGGCCACGGGCAGGTTTTTGTTGAAGGCACCTTGAGCTGAGCAATCATGCAGGCTGCTCGTTTCATCCCCTAGCGATGTGGTGTGAGAGGTGCTCCTCACCTAGCGCAGGTGGAGGTCGCTTGCTCTGGGACTGCTGGCCGTAGTAGGAGACAGCAGGTGTTCTCTGTGTCCCCACACGTGACATGGAAAAGGAGCTATCAGACGCCCCTCCACGGTGCTGAATGGAGATGAACTCTCTTCAGCCCTTGGCTGGCTGCTTCCCCCAGCAGTTGTCTCCTCTCCACCCACCTTCCCAAGGCGGGAGTGCAGGGTGCAGAGGTGCCAGGCCGGAGTGTGCACAGCAAGCACGCGTGTGGACTGTGCTGGTGGCAGTCAGCTTTCAGCCTCTGAGTTCAGCAGACATGTGCCAGGCATGGACTGTGTCCCAGGTGTCCCTAGGAGCAAAACAAAACTGCTGCTGCCTTCCTAGCAGAGCAAGGAGACTTGTAGATAAATACAGTACACAGTGTGAGAAAGTGGTGTTAAGAGCAGAATCAAAAACTAAGTCAGGGAGGAGGTTGGGGGGCAGCTTAAAACTGAGACCCGAGGAGTGGCAGAGGAAAGGCCTGTGGTAGTAAACCATGGTGTCCAGGGAACACTGCCCGGAAGTGTGCACGTGCTGTGGTTCCGGTCATGGTACGGAATGCAAAGTAAATGTTTAGATGAATAAAGAAAGGAGAGGAAACGAGGAAGAAGTGCATCCAGAGATGCATGTGTAGACTCTAATATTTGAGTTCACACATTTCAACAAGACAGCAGGACTTTTTCTTTCCACAGTTCAATGTTTAAGTATATCAAGTGATTGCTTTAAGGCCTTGGCTACATTTTTTATTTAAATAAGTCTAATTAAGGAAGACATGTATTTCTATTTCCATAGTTTAAAATTTATCTTCTCTCTGCTTTTCTCATGTAGAAAAGTTTGTTCAGAGATACTCATTGGTGTTTCTACTTAGGTGATCTTTAAGAATAAAGTTACTGAGATGATCTTACCAAAACTTTATTCATATATTTGGCTGAATCAGCTCAAGAGCTTTCCCTTTAATGGTCATCCTGACTTTGGGGAAGAACTGGAAGTCACACAGGGCCAGGGCCAGTGGGCACTGGCTGAAGACGCACTGTAGTGTTTTGACGAGCTCGCCTTCGTTAGATAGCACTCAGCAGCAGCATTCACCAATGTTTTTTAATCGACCTTGTAAGGATCCTCACGAAAGAGGACTTCCTGACCTGCTGGGGAATGAGGTGGGGCAATGGGAAAAGTGTGCTTGAAGTCAGGGGAGGACTTCTCTCTTTTTTACTGGTATGCTTGTGATATATAATAATTACATTCTTCTTGAGAAATTGACATGTGTACATATGTCATATATCACATCTTCATCATTTTTATTTTCCCTTCTCCCCACCTACCTCCTCCCTTCTTCCCCAGATTGTCTTCCTGTCCCAAAACGTCCACCTCCTTCTTTCCTAATCTTTGCTCGTTTATTTTGCTTTTTAATTATTTATATTCTGGGTTTGTCATGTACGAGAAACCTGCGATATTTAAGCCTCTGTGTCTGATTTAGTTCACTTAGCATTGAGGTCTGAAAATGTGCCCACTTTTCTGCAGGCGGCTCAGCTCTATTCCGTATGGCTGAGTGGTGCTCCGTGTGTGTGTACCACACTTGCTTATTCGTTCATCTGTTGATGGGCTTATGAACCACTTCTATAGTTTAGTTGTTACAAACTGTGCTGCAGTAAACGTGGGTGGATGTGTATCCCTGTTGCACGAGGTCTTTCACTCATTTGGGACGATAGCAAGAGGAGGTACGGCTGGGTTAGATGGAACTTGTAGCTTTGTTTCTTGAGGACTCTCCATGTGGGTCTCTAGGGTGACTGTGCTAGCTCACATCGCCACCAATAGTGTATAGAAGGGCCTTTTGCTCCCCTGCAGCCTCGCCAGCATGTGTTTCTTTTTGACTTCTTGGGGATGACCATTCTTCTGGACAAAGTAGAATCTCAGTGTTGTTTTAATCTTTATTTCTATAATGGCCAAAGATGCTAAACATTGTCTCATGGACTGACCTCTTTGGCTATTTGTACTTCTTCTTTTGAGAAATATCTATTCATTTCAAATTTCATTTATTTATTTATTTATTTATTTAGAGACAGGGCCTTGTTACATAGTTCAGACTGGCTTTTAACTCACTGTGTAGCCTGGGCTGGCCTTGAACTCTTGGCAATCCTCCTGCCTCAGCCTTCTAAGTGCTGGGATTACAGGCATGCACCACCATGCCCAGCAGAGACCCCCCGACCCTTTTTAATATTAGGACAGGGTCTCCAGGGTCTTACCGCATAGATCCGACTCCTAGTGATCCTCCTTGTTTATAGCCTCCCAAGTGCTGGGATTACAGGTGCGTGCTACCATGCCCAGTCTCAGTCGCCATCTCAGTATGCCCTGGTGGGCGGGGCCAGCACTGCAGGTTCAGGTATCAAACTCCCATCCCCTGCGTCTGCCTAAGCAGGCGCTTTAATCCGCTAAATTATTTGGCCCACCCAAGACCAATTTTTGATTGGATCTTTTATTTGGGGAATCTGATTTTACTGAGTTCTTTATATATTCTAGGTATTAGTGTGAGGGGTGTATATTTTAGGGGGGATTAATGGTGATCCTTTACTGTAATAATTTTTTAAAATTTAAAGACCATGTATTCTGAATTGCTGGGTCTTAAGGTAATTTTCTGATTAACCTTGTGAGGAGCTGTTAGTGTTCTCAAAATGGTGGCACGGGTTTGTATTCCCCCAGCGCTGGCTGGCACTCTGATTCTCCACATCCTCACCAGCACTTACCCCTATCTTTTCGTTTGTTTGTTTGGTTTTGGCGGTACTGGGGATTGAACTCAGGACCCTGTGCTTGCCAGGCAGGCACTTATTCTACTGAGCTATGTCCCTGGCTCCTAACCTCTATCTTCTGACCACTGAATTTCCTATGCGTGTGAAGTGGTAGCTCACTGGTTTTACAGTTCTCTTTCACTGAAAGTAGTTGGGGCCAGGGATATAGCTCAGTGGCACAGCGCCTGCCTGGCAAGCTCAAAGTCGAGAGTCCAATTCCCAGTATCAAATAAATAATAAAAAATAAAAGTAGTTGCTCCATTCATTATAGAAAAAACTGGCTATAGGGCCGGCCTGATAGCTCAGCAGACTACAGCACCTGCTTCGGCAGAGCGCAGAGGCTCAGGGTCGATCCCCAGTGTGCTGTGCTGGCCCCGCCCGCGGGGCGTGCTGAGAGGGCGATTGAGACTGGGCGTCGTGGCCATGCTGTGTTCTCAGTGCTTTGGGATGCTGAAAAGCACTGAGAATCACTACGTAGTGAAACCCTGTAGACCCTTCCTAAATACAAGCAAAAAAGAAAAACTAGGTAAAGTATCCTCAGCTGAGAGGCTTGCAGGGGTAATGGTGTAACTCTAGACTCAAGTCTCACGCTTGGCCACATGCTTCCCAGTCATGTTTTCAAGCTGTTTGCACAGAACCAGTGAGGAACCATGGCGAGTTCGCATAGCTTAACTGCCTCTCCCCACTGCCACCGTGCAGGACAGGTGCAGAGCCTTGAGGGCCTCCTGTCATCTGTCCCTCGAGGCTGGAAGGCCCTGGGCAGTGCAGTAGCACCTGCAGGGGTGAAGCAGCTGCCTGGCCCTGTGTTGTCTTAGGCACGCAGGGCATTTGCTCGTGCTTCTTCCAGGAGCGTGACTGCTGCAGCGTCAGAGCTGTAGTTGCTAAGAGCAGTAGCCCCTGTGCCAGCAAAGATCAAGTCCATGGCCCCTTTACAGACCGGGTTTACAGACCAAATTCTCCCATATGGAATGTGAGGCCAGGATGGGTGAGGGAAGAGCTGTGGTGTTGAGAACCCAGCACCAGGCACGTGCGCACAGGAGCCCGAGGGAGCTACCCAGCCGCACTCGCAGCACCTGACCCCTTCTTTGCTAAACAGATGACCATGCCTGCGATACAGGGTTCTCCCTGTGGCTTGGAAATGCCCAGCTGATGGTAGGCACTCAACAATTGTTAATTCTCTTTCCTTAAATAGCTCGGCTCTTAGTCTCAGATATTTTTTCTCTAAAGATTTAGTCCAGCTTCAGTATGGCAGAACACAGGATTGATTGTATTGTTTAGAATCTTTTCTTTCAGAGAAGTAATGAGCTCTTGGCGAAAATTAAGTATTGGTGGAAATGAATATTGCAATTTGGTAGCTGCTGATTGACATATGTTTGCTAAACAGCAACTTGAATTTCAGAAAGCTTGCCTAAAAGAGAACAAAATGGAGAAAATCCTAAGAACATTTTTGTGTTTTTGCCAGGTATTTATTTATAAAGTCATCTCCTTTGGAAAAAGTTTTTATAAAACAAAGGCTAGCTTTGGCTCGAGAGTTCAGGTCAGCCCGCATGGAAGCCTGAATGTCAGTGTGTGTGAAGGGTGGTGGACTTGGTGACACCTCTTTGCCTCCCTTCGGGTTTTTTTTTCTTTAATTTTTGTTTTATTTTGTTTTGATAATGTTTTGAAAACTGGTCCTTTGGTCACTATGTCTTTTTTTTTTAGATCTACAGGGAAGTCATAGTAACAGACTTCATGTCTGATTGGGCTCCATGGCAACAAAGGGTTGTGACTTTATTAACAGAATCGAGCATGCCAAGAAAGGTAAAAATCAGAGCCTGGAAAATGTCTGACCAGCTGTACAAGTTTAGGGGACCCTATGCCCTGGAACCGCCCTGGGACTGAAAGGTTTTCCCAGTCAGCATCCATCTCCCTTATGAATCTGCATCCCACCGGGTTGTTATTAAGGTCATGAAGATCAGAGCTTATTTTTTTAATCCATTTGCATCCTGGCTTTCATTCATCTATTCACTCATTCATTCATCCTGTTTATATCTCACTATATTAAAAAACCTAAGCGGTAGTGATAGGAACCTAACCAGAGCAGATTCTGATTTTAAAGGTAGAAAAGCAGTACCGCACAGCCTTTGTGGAACTGATTACAGCTGGAGATTGTGAGACCAAGTGGGAGGCCCAATTAAAGGCAATTATAACTGGATTGCATGCTCCGGGAGCCAGAGCGGCTGTGGCTGGCTGCGTGAGCTCCAGCTGGGGAGCTGGTTCCCATCCTCCTTCCAGGGTCAGCGTTCCGGTTCCAGATCCTTGTGTAGGGCCTCGGTAGCAAGTGCCGCTGTCTATCCCTGCAGCAAGGTTTCAGGTTGTCACTGGAAGCAAAGCATGCGATTTTTCGAGTTCCTTTGCTGAAGATACTGATGTGTGACCAGGAAATGGGAGACCTTCGAGTCATCCTGTGTCCCTGCTGCCCCTGGCCGGGTGCCAGTGAAGCTAGGATGATAGGGAGTCTTGTATTTCTCCTACTGAATGTGAAAGTGAAAGGACTCCAGTGGAGCGGGAAGGTTGGTGTGGCCATTCACTGCCAGCTACTTATCCTTGCCACCAGCCGCGTGTCCAGACCTGTGCTCTGTGCTCAGGCTTCGTTATTCACTCACTTCCGGCCTCATCATGGTTAATCAGAAACCTTGCAGATGCTGTCATGCTGAAACCAAAACAGTACTGGTCTAAGGAAAGGATTAGCTCACCGTCCTCTAGTCTCTTGGCTGTGGTTAATCAGCTGTGAATGCTTCTGAGAAGTGACCTAACTCCCTAGGCCTGCCCTTCCCTTACAAGCAGGAGTTTGACCTGCACTGGTGTTTACAGACTTCGCTGTTTACAAGAATAACCTGGGGCAGTAGTTTCAGAAGACACGGAGCCTTTCTTAGAGAATCTGATTCACTAGGTCTAGGGTGGGGAAAGGCGAGAAGGGGCCCGAGTGATCTTACTTTGAGCTGGCCTGGAAATTCCAAGCCCGCCCAAAGGCTCCAAGCTGTGGTGAGCGCAAGCGTGCAGGGAGCGTGGAGGCCATGAGGCCCGGCTGAGCACATCTGCCCCTACGATGCCCACCAGATTCCCAGTGGTCTGGGCCCAGCCTAGACAGGCAGTGACAGCAGCCCAAACTTGAGAAATACCGGCCCTGTCTAGCTCCCCTCAGTGCCGAGGACAGTGGGCTGGGTTTGCCTATCCCAGAGCCAGCTCCAAACCCCAAAATCAGTTCTTGAGAGCAGTTAGTTTTACATCTCGGAGTGGTACAGTAGTGAGTGCCTTTGTTCATGGAATATTTATGTGTTGTGGTTTGTTGGCGAGGACAGTGTGTACTAAGTGCAGCTACTTCTGGTGTACAGAGCCCACTCCAGTGACATCTGAATTACCTGGGGAGCTTATTAAAAACATATAGCTTGGATTCGAGACCCAGATAATCAGTATATCCCACACCGGACCTAGGCATCGCTCTTGGTGGTGGTTTTTAACATGAAGGATTTTGTGGTATTTTTTTTCCTCCTAAATAAAACTAAACACACATCTTTAGCCCAAGGGGGATGGTAAATGGTGACTCCAAAGTAGAAGAGGCTGTGACGCGTAGAGTTGGGGCCTTAGGAGAAAACGCTGATCTTCTGAGAATCTGAGTTTAATGATTAAATCATCAACTGTGAACGCAAGCACATTTCAGTGTGCTTCTCTGTAGAGTTTCTACTAGGGCTGAGTTTTCTGTCCTGATTAACAAAGATTAAACAACAGTGTTAAGTGAGGTATATCATATATCATCTGTGTGAATCCAACCAACTTAATCTAGAAGTTCACACTTCTAGGAAAGAAAAAAAAATATATATCATAGTACTAAAGGACTTAAGGTGAAAAGTAAAGTCCTTCCCAGTTTCTTCCTGCTCCTCCAGAGCTGGTGAGGTATCATTTCATGCGATTCTATATGGAGTGGTCTCTCTTACAAAGCACATCTATCCAGTGTTTATTAACGAGTCCCTGTGGAGAACTGTACAGTGTGAGTTCCTTTAGGGTGACTTTTTCCCATGTTTTGTTTTGTAATACTGTATTTTAAAATCTTTATATATATTTTTATAACTATAGGTAAATCTTTCTTTTTTCTTGTGGTACTAGGGATCAAACCCAAGGCTTTGCACGTGCTAGGCAGTATCCCCAGGCCCCCATAAATGAATGTTTTCAAAAGCAAAATGTGGGGTCAAGAACACACATATTTTACCTAAGGTAGGTGCGAATATCCCAGAGCCTGTGCCATCTTGCTGGGGCTGGGGGTGTCATTTTTCTGTCACAACTTCCCTGGCTCTGCTGGTACAGCTGCATGGAAGTGCTCAGCCCTGTCCCTGTCTATTCCCACAAAGCCTGAGACTCACCTATGGACCCCTGGCTGGTGGGATTAAATGAGCTATCTTGTGAGAAAGGGAGGGATTTTAGAAATACCTGAAGTGCTCCAAGGCAAAAGAGAACAGAGAATGACTTAAGAGAGCAAGTATCTAATCCTGAATTTGCAAAAGGCACCTTAGGTCACAGAGAGCCCAGATCCAGAGCTGGATTAGAAAGAAAGAAAGAAAGAAAGAAAGAAAGAAAGAAAGAAAGAAAGAAAGAGTGATCAATCTATCTGGGTGAAGCATTATGGTAGCAGGCTGCCCTCAATTTTGAGCATCTCTGATGTGGGTTGTGGTAAGGGCCCCTGACTGCGAGAGAGAGAGAGAGAGAGAGAGAGAGAGAGAGAGAGAGAGAGTGTTCAGTGTGTATATGAGAGTCCTGTTTTCGAGTGGAATGACTGCATCTCAGTAGCCTGTGGTTAAGACTGCATGCATCTCCTTGGTGTGCAGGGATAGCTGGGCAGACCAGAATTGAGTCATGGAGGGACGTTGCTGGCAGGGTGGCAGGTGTCATCTGAGTTGGGCAACTCTCTGTCTTCATTCTGTGCCCTCTTGGCAGCAGGTTGGATGTGGATTTTATGCACACAAAATCAGTTATTTAAGGCTGGAAAATGCATGTTTGTTTAGAGCAGGGAAGAATTGGAAAATAGCTTGGATCTGTATGCCAGGAAGGCGTCAAAATCTTCAAGGTTGGTTAAGAAGGATAGACAGGTATACTGTGTCTTCAAAAGGAGACACTCAGGTCCAGAAAAACTGGAGAGCAGCAAGAACCTCAGGTTAGGGCCGCACACACGAGGGCAAGACACTTAGGGACGCATCCTCTTGACCATGTGCCCTGTGACCAGGATGAAAGGCCAGGAATAAGGAAAGCCCCACTGCCGTTAGCTCTGAATTGAATTGTTTTCTCTATGTAATGAAAATAGTTAACGAAGGGCCAGTGAGATACCTCAGCGCATTAAGTGCCTGCTTAGGCAAGCACAGGGACTAGGGTTCAATCCCCAGCACCACATGCTGCGCCAGCCCTGAGCGTGGTGGTGCACGCCTGTAATTCCAGCAGCCCTGGGAAGACTGAAAACAGAAGGATCACTACAAGTCTGAGCTGCATAGTGAGACCCTGGACCAAATACATACATTCAAAAAATAGATAATGATCCAATTACAGAGCTTTAAAGCAATTAGCAGTAGTTCTGTATAAGAAATTAAATTGATTTTTTTAAAAAGATATGTATGGCCGAGTACTGTGCAGGGAAGAGTCTAGGTTTGCTGAACTGAGAGATGGGGAGCGAATGTGAATATGGAAAGCTACCAAGAAAGGGTCAGAAAAGATGCAGGAAGTGACAGTGAATGTATGTTAGCAAGAAAGTTGGAAAGAAAATATCCTTTTAGAGACATCCAAGATACATTTAGACTATTAAAGAAGTAGTAAAAGTAGGTAAGACAAGTTGGAGCCCAAGTTTAAAGAGAAAAAGGAGAAGGAAAATGAACAGGGTCATATATGCCACTGATGGTCAGTCTAGGTTTTTAATCTTACTGTTGAGATGCCTTTTATTTTTCTTTTTCCTTTTTGAGTACCAGGAATCAAAGTCAGGAC